ATCATTCAGATATCGTGCGATTACAAGTGCTTACTACAGAGGAGCAGTAGGTGCATTGCTGGTGTACGACGTCACCCGCCACGTCACATTCGAAAACGTCGAGAGATGGTTGAAGGAACTGAGGGATCACACAGATTCAAACATCGTAATCATGCTTGTGGGCAACAAGGCCGACTTGCGCCACTTGCGAGCCGTAACTACAGAAGATGCCACTGCTTTTGCCGAGAAAGAGAAGACCTTTTTCATGGAAACTTCTGCCTTGGAATCCACAAATGTCGAGAATGCATTCACAGAAGTGCTTACGCAGATACATAGCATCGTAAGCAGGAAAGCTCTCGAGGGTGGGGATGATCCAGCAGCATTACCAAAGGGTCAAACTATCAGTGTTGGCTCTAAAGACGATGTTTCGGCTGTAAAGAAAGCTGGCTGCTGCTCTTCTTGAATAAGAGAATGCCGAAGGTGAAAGCCATCTTTGTTTCTGTGCTGGAAGATCTCATTCAGCACAGTAACCATCACTTTTGACTTTTTGGGCGCTTGGTTTCACCTTTGATATGCCCGACTGTCCGGTAAAGCCCGTGTTTTTTACCCGTGCTCCTAGAGCATGGGCTTTTCGGTCATTTTATTACGTTTTTTTAATCTACTACATTTGGATTGAATTTGTAGCTGTAATATGGTAGTAGCTTCTGTCTTCTTAGAATTTCAATTGATGGGATATACATATATTTGAGTGTTTGTTAGGTATGAACCTTTAAATTTGTAACTGAAATTCTGATCCATTCTTCACCCGTATTTGATTGTGATTCGTTAACTACGAGTTATTTTTGCCGAGAAATAACCCTGCCTTTTCATCTTTTTAAATTTACCTTTTAACAAGTCAGTTATATATTTCTTACTATATTCTTTTCCTTTTCAAATTTCATAGTCTACCAACCAATTACACTAGGGCATGCTTGTCAGGGTGGACAAGATAGGATTAGGTAGATTCGATGCTACCACTACGGGTAGTATCTATTCTTTGAGGCATACTTGTCAGGGAATCTGAAACAGATTGTCTATTTGGTTCTTTTATGATTAAAGAATTTTCTTTAAATCGCATACAATTTTTATTTTCTATTAGAGTTTTTTAGCCCAATGTTCTTTTAGTGGTGCTAATTCACAAAAGGTTTTTTCTGAACATATATCTGAAAAGATATCTTCTATTTCAACATAAGATTTTTTCTTATAATCTATGCTATGATGACTATTAGTCAATGCATAACTTATGACTCATGTAACACTAAAGACTTTGTCTCCAGGGTTCATTAAATTGTCTCTTTTAAAATGATGAATGAAAGATAAGATTTTATTTAAATTTGTAGTTTGGATAGACATACCAAATTTAAGATAAACCATAAAGATGAACTTACCATAGGGAAGATTTCCTCTTACTGTACCTAATATGCAATCTTTTCTATCATTACTTCTATCATCAATTAATGTCATTTGAATAAGAGTATCAATCCCTTCTTGAAACTCAGTTTTAAGCAAAATTTTTAGTGCTCCTAGATGAATTGTTGAAATTTTATTTCTTATAGAAGACAGAATCTTCTCCAAATTTTTTCGTATTACTGCTTTAATAATCAAAGGCAGATATATTGTTCCTTTAACATCTCTTATGTCTACATGCAATTCTTGCGTGTTAACAAAATAAAATATTTCATTTTTTCTTTTAAAGAAATTTAATATAGGAATGTTGAAAATTTCTTTCTTTTTAAGATTTAACCTTGATTTTTGAACTTTTGTCAAAACATCATGTTTTATTGCTAAATTAGCTTTAAAACCTTTTTCATTTTCATAAAATGAAACTTGTGAAAGATCACTACTAAGACATGTATCTTGTTCTATATCTCTGTTTTCATTATCCGTATTGGAATTCATATTTCAAACAGGTTTTCCAGCTGTCTCCACCTTAAGATGGGATCACGAATACTGGTATTCCCCATTCTGAATTTTAATTCTGTATTGGAAGATGAATTCAAAAAATATTGATCAGAAGATCTATTATCTAACAGGATTTTTCTTTGATACCAGGCTCTGATACCAAGATTTTTAGACGGGCTGATTCCTATGCGGAATATGGACATATTTAAGAACATGTTAATGAATGCAACTAAGCAATTATCCAAAAGTAATTGATTGAGAATTTAATTAGAGCTTTTGAAAAGACTAATTAAAATGGATGCTTGTTTTTCTAATTAAAATGGATGCTTGTTTTTCTGCTTTTCTTATTAACTTCTCAATTGCAGTAATTAAGGAGATTATTCCATTACACCATAGGAAATAGGCTCTGGCAGTTGCTAGTTGAACATCTGTCGGTGTAGAACGATAAGTTTGAACTAGGTTTTCCAACCTTTGTTCATCTTCTTTTAACATTTTTGTTAATTCAACAATTTGTTTTCTTAATGTTTAGAGACAATTTACGTCTTTAAACACTACTCTGAATGGCATACGCCAAAAATCATCGTTATCCATTGCAAATTTAAGGATTTTCTTAGTTCTGTCGATCAAGACTTAAAATTTTTCCTTTGGTTTAAAACATTTTTATTCTAAGAGTTCTCTTCCTAGGACACATATTAGTAACTAGAGTCTTCAATAGTTTTTAATCATATAGTTCTTATCTATATTGTGAAATCGTACCTTTTGTGCTTCTGCTGGAGTTCTTGTATTGCTCCTTACCAATGCCTTGGACGCCTCTACTTACTTTTCCCCCTCTTGGCACTTCTTTAACTCGAATGGCTTTAGTCCCTCTAGGCACTCTGGTGATTGTGGCATAAGAACTCGGCTGGATAAGTTAAGATATGTTTTATTTCACAATAAGAAAGAATTCTCAGGTAGAAACCTTTGAACTCTATTACACATATGTTCCTTTGGAAGGAACTTTATCACTACTCACACATTACAATGGGAGAAGAAAGATTAGAGAGAGAAAACTATAGACTAGGCTCTCAGTTTTATGATGTTCCCTTATTCAAAATGAACTCGTCCTTTTATAGAGAAAGGAACGAGGGTCGGTACAAGATGATTAATGTCATCCCTGACGTGAGCCACGTTGGCACGCGTTTCACCGAGAAACTTCTAGCCAATAATGAACTCAATAATGCACCATTTACTCATGCACTCACATGTCCTCATTAGCTTTATCACTTTTCTTTTATTCCATGGCTCGTGAGTCGGATGAACTTGACGTTGTCTAAGAATCTTTTTCATCAGACATGTTTTTCAAAGTGGTGGCTCAACCGTGATTGCTGCTTGACAACTTGCATTCGGCAGGGGTAAATGCTGCCACGTGCTTCCCAATTTTTCTTGATCTTTTTACAGATTTTCGGATGACGAAATTCTTGTAATAAGTCTTTTTGGAAGGTGATAATCTTGATTTCATCTTCATCACTCATAATTTTTAGCGATTTTGAATATACCAAATAATTTTTATCTTGGTAATTCACAAACACTTTATCGTCCGAGTTAAACTCCATTATTTTTTCCACTAGAGTTTCATATCGGCTGAGTCCAACATCATCGAAGTTGACGGGTTGGAATGTTCTTGTTTCTAGTTTAATAAATTTTTCACCAGAACTTACCCCTAGCATAATTAAATGTTGTGCTGGGATCACTGCGTCGTTGAACCAAATTGGTACCGAACTCATGATTTTTAGAAAAATGTCCTTGTCGCCTTAGATGCATTTTTTCCTAAAGTTCTATATTGCATTAAGAACATTAGAAGGTAGCTCTTGTAGTTCCTTTTAAGGTTTGGCTGGGATATATAGTTTTTACCAAGGTTGTCAAAACCGGATAGCTCATCGAAGCGGTCATGTTACTGGTTCAATGGTTCACTGGTCCGACCAGTGGTTGAACCGGTTGAACCATAATTTAATTTATTAATATTTTTAAATATATAATATTTCATAAATATATTTAACTTAATTTTAAGTTATTTAATTTATTGATATTTTAAAATATATAATAGTAAATACTAATAAGCTCATTTACATAATTATAATCAAAATTTATAGTCATAGAACATAAGAATTTTTTGACGATTTTTTATTTAAAATGAGGTACAATTAATTTTTCATACGCAACATATAGTTATTAACTAGAAACTTATAATAAAATGTGTGCGTGTGTTTTATAAAAGCAACAGGACAAAATCGAAAATTATGGAAAAAGAAAATTTCCCATTTGGAATAAAATGTGAGTTGGAATTCCAGGCTCCACCCACGTTAACATTTGAAATTCTTGGGTTTTTAACTAAGTTTTGTGTAGGCTGAGTTATTGGGAAACTAATGGGCCGACTGGGCTTGGGTGCTGATGAGTCTACCAGACGTAGCCTTCGAAACCGCACATATTCATAAGTCGACCTCCCAGTTCTCGAGGTTGACTCTGTACATCTCGAAGATCAAAGTGATGAAGACGGTTCACCACACTTGCAACATATCCGAAGCCCTACACATTACAAAGGATAAGAAGGAATCTTGTGATGACTCAGCAACGAGGGGAGACGAATCGACCAGGGCATTTTGGACCTTCTAGGTCCACCGACTTGGGCATTTTGGGCACTTCAAGTAAGTATTCACTCCTATATAAAGGAGGTGAGGTAACCCCAAACCCTAACTCCCAATCTGAGGGAAGCCCACTGAACTTTCTGAAGCCCTCGACTTCGGCTGCAGAGGCATAACAAAATGGATTTAGAACAGCTAACCTAGCCAAGGGACAAGCTATTGATACAACATTTTGAGAGTCGAGAAGAGGAGCAATTATTGGTACAGATACAGGGCTCGTTCTATAAATAGGGATATCTAAGAACCTAAGAGGAATACCTCAAGGAATAAGATCGAGACGAGGAAGATTTCCTCGAGGAGGGCTCTTCACAATATCGACTAAGCCGCCCTCCAAAAGCGCTTGGTCATGCTGCTCCCAGTCGGCGGAGGAAGCAGTGGTGAAAGGGAGAGAAGGACGGGAAGACAGCGGAACCATCTTATAGCCAGTCACCTCGACAGAATCAGAACTGGAACCCTCGTCGACAGGATGAGTATAGTCGTTGATCTGCTGACCGAGGGAACCAGAGAGAGGAGACGAGTCGAAAGCTAAGGAAAAAAAAAGAAGGAGAAGGTCGAAATTAGTAAAGTCACGAGTTAAGGCCCACGAAAATGAGGCAAATCGATTCGCATAAACCGACAAGAGATAAAAGGACAGAGAAGGGGCAATCGCTATTGATAGCTCGGCTTAAATAAATCAATAAGTCAATCCTAGTCGACTCGACGGGGGTAAACCAAGGAGGGAAGACCACTAAGTCGACGGAGAGTCGGCTCAGTGATAGGTGAATATCGACTACGCATCGGCAGCCGACGACTGGCAAACAACAACAAATCCAAGCAAAATATGCACAACTCAAGATCCAGCACAGAACCCATAGAAAACCTTCGAAAAATATGAAGAACATACATGAACTTCGAAAGTTCTGAGAACCCAGAAAAAATCAAAGAAAAGAAAAACAGACAGGAGATGGAGAGATAAGAGAATAGCGAACTTACACATGATGGCTTAGTAGATTGGAACCTTGAATGAACTTGAAGTTGCCGGAAGTGAAGAACGCCGGAGAAGCCGAAGTGCGAAAGTTGCCGGGAGAAATTTCAGAGAGCAAGAAATTCGAGAATGCGAAAAGTAACCTCTTGAGAAGAGGAGGCGTATTTATAGGCAGAGAAAACTAACGCTGACCGTTGGATCAAAGAAAGAACCGACGATCCTGATGGGGCACGGAATTCGAAGGGCCGGCGGTTAGGGTGACGCGCG